GTACATTACAAATATACATGTATCGCGATATTTCAAATATCGTAGTGACTGAAACATGAGGCGGCCTGGTGCAGCACATTCAGTTGCCTGAGAACATCATAAACGAGAGATTCAGCTGGGTTCCAGGTGAGTCTCTCGAAAGAACCAAATTAGTTTGCAGATGAGTGTATATTCGCCAATTTCGTGCAATTTGGTTTCAGGTAGAACATAAGGTTGACGGAAACCCGGGGACTGCGCCTACCTGATGAGCCCCAAGAAGGGCGAAACCGGTCGTCGGCTGTCGACGGATTTTCAGCAACATTATGAGTAGTACATTACAAATATACTAGAAGCAGTTCAAGTGTGCAGACAAATCTCCGTTCGTCCGGTACTCGAACATTAATCATACTGTCTCAAGTCAATAATCTTCTGACGTATGCAGGAGATCAAATATTATGCTGTGTAACAGAAACATGAAAAAATGGGTCAAGTCGTGGTACTGTGCAAACAAAAATGGAGATGCACCTCGTCACCCGCTACAAACGGTAGTTCTTAAGAAGCCTCGTTTTAGTACTTTTAAGCCATACAGTATAAATTTTGAATTAGAATAAAAAACTCTTCGTTTTCCTTGCCTATCTTTTGAAGTGTTTTTGCTTGAATACAGAAGAGTACCACGACGCGCCGCTTGTACTCAGATAGAAAGCACCTTAGAAACCGTATTTCCGCCAAAATAAGAGAGCCGTTCGTAGAATTCAGGTGGGCAAGCTTTTGGATCGTGCCAAGCTTTCGCAATCATTGTTGCTATACTATCTGTCACACGAAGACAAGTATGTCAGATTACTGATCTCTGATCTCGTGTTAGTGTTAAGTAAACCACGAGGTCATTTTGCCTTGCCCTTCAAGTATTACGTCGGAACTAAGAAGAAGAACTGAGAATTGAATTCAGCCCGCAGTGGCGAATCATGAGATGGGAGTTCTGACTAGGAAGTAAGCTCTCCAACTGATTTATTGTTAGGACATATCTTACACTACAGACTTTGAATTCCTGGGTCAAAGTGAACTAAGAAATGTGACCAAAGCTAGACACGGTCATTGGCCTTTCCGACTGCCTTTTGCAGGCTAACGAAACATTTGTTTTGCCGTACTCAACAGCACATTCGAATGAGAATTTATAATATGGCTCTCCCTATTTGCAGCTTTATAAAGAGGTCTTTGCATAAATTATGACAGGCAGGTTGAACAAGATGTCCAAGTTACATTACGGAAGCAGGAACTCAATCACATTCGTGGATTTACACGAACAGTAGATTGCCAGAAAAGCCTCATCAAACAAAAAACACATACAGGAACAAATAAAAATTCTCCAGAGGTGTTGCACTACGAGCATCTGTAGGTGTATCCTAATGAAACGATGCCCCAAACGCTATTTAGTATTTGGAGATCACGTAATCGACATTCAATCGGTATCTGGTCAGATGAAAAGACAACATTAAACGAGAACACTTACCAAGTCTGTACACAAAATCTGCTACAAAAAAGGTCGTGTTCAACATGTGCTTCACCAAATACTTCATAAGAGTTTCGTCAAATGCAAACGACATATTGACGAGAGATTCAGTTCGGTCTCACTTGATAACCAAATTGATATGCAAATGGATACATCTGTTGAAATAAATGACACTGTTTCCACTGTGTAACGTTATTTAAGCGGAAAAGAAATAGACTTGATAACTGCGCTGCACAACCCGAGAAACTGAGTTAACATTCGGCGCTCCAAAAATATGAACACACCAATCTACCGCATTCAAGTAGCAGCAATTTCAATAAAAATTCCCAGGCATAAAAATACAAAGTAACGTGGTGAATTATGTTTAAAGGAGCAGGTCCCCAGTTTTCCGGTTTGTAAAATCAGCATCCGGTTGTGCCGGGCGTGAACAGCTGTTCTATGGATAAATTTAGGCTTGCTAGCCTATTTTCGGTTCCTTCAAGAATCAACCTGAATACCTTTACTTTGTTCGTTTAGGTGCCGAAAGTTTACGTAAATTTGCAAGATATGTTTTAAGCACAACTGTGGAGATGCATCTGCCAGTTGTTGACTACATTTACAACGAAACAGTGCTTGGACTAATAGAGGACACTTATGATGCACACAGACGCGATGGGATTCTATGAAACTTTTGTCAATGCTAAAAGTCATGCTATTCAGACCCAAAGATGCTGTCCGAGTAGGGTGAATTAATATTCATATTCTGTGTCATTGCAAACAATCACCGTGAACGGTTTTAGGTTGAGCTGAATTATTTAGAACAAACGACTGCCAGCCAACAATGGCTTTCAAAGATATCAATGGTTCATCATATGTCTCAATGGAATTAGTCCCACAAACGATGGACCCATCACAATTTGGTACACAACAATTTTAACGTGGATGATTGGCCTCCGCTTATGGTCAAGATGATTACGCACCATCTAGCCCCGCAATCATGCGAACTTCATTGTAGAATCTAATGCATAACTGTACTGTCCAATCAAAACAACAGGGCGAAGGCGTTCTTATCAAAAGAAGGATTGCGTCCAAAAGTCAAACGGATAAAAAGAGCATTAATAAATCGTTGAACAGCATATTTGTAAAACATGCAATAAATGACAACCTACTTTTGCGCATCAGACACGAAAATGGTCCACTGGGTGTACATGGACCTCACTGCAAACCAGATTGTGGACTCATTCACCAGTGGCGCCTCAATTTTTGCGATTTCAGCGCAGAACCAGCTGGTTTGGAACAGAAGCATTTTAACTACTACCGACCACCATAATGTGACATCACATCAACCTTTCGCTTGCAATGCCAGCGTTTCCTGTAGAGCTGTTTGTTAAAAGGTCCTTTCACATATTACTTGAACAAACAACGGTGGCAATGAAGACTTTGCTGCGCAGAACCATAAGCCTTTGCCACCCAACTATTGGGACCGTTACACCGATTCCCTAACATCTTTGTGCTTTGAGTTGTGTTTTCCGTTAGTATCACATTGTCCGTTTATCTTGATTTTCATTGTCCTACTGTTTGAAATTTGCTTGAAATCTCATT